CTTGCGTCTAAATGGGATGCATCATTCAGGTAATGACTTCAGGCGACCTGGCCATAACTGTACTCACCGGTATTTTAACGGTCTTTTCATGGTCTTTTTACACTTTACGTCTATTTCTTTGATTTAGAGAATTATCCGGTATGACGCGGGAAAAATTCATCAAACTTCAGAGTATTTCTTTCGTGTGGCGTTTAGTTTTCACCGTCGATCCGTAAAAACGAGGGTACACCAGCCAACTGTTTCGCAAACGTGTTTTTTGCGGGTAGGTAAGCTCGCCCTCAGATGCGTTCTCTGGGGAAATATCGCTATGTAATGCAACGGTTCACCATTTGGTTCGTCACCAAATATTTGCCCGGTTATTAGTTTACTGCTGAGGTAGCGACAACACATGCATCCACCCAACATACACAATGTAACACCATTCTAACTTGCACAAATTGCCTTAATCTAGACGCAAGCGCGTAGGTGAGTTCGAGTACATCTATCTCCAATGTGAAAAATGAGGCAAATTCCAGCGGAAGTATTCGATTGAGCTCAAGTTCACCCACGTTTGAGCCGAATCAAATCCGCATGGCAAGCACTCGATGTAAATCTAGCGACCCAACCACCCTAGTTGATGTCAATCTCCCCTAGATTGATGTTCCTGACCCCAAATCACCCCCTTATGCCTTGAATTTCAACAGTGTACTGCTCCAAGTCAACCCGCTAACCTGCTTTTCAAGGTCAACTTCCAAGACTATTCCCAAATCCTCAACAACAACGACAAACATCTAGATAACTTCTCTCGTTCATCTGCTGATGCCCAATGATGATTCTGCAATCGATGCACTCATAGGTCTGTCAACGGCCACGGACCCCAGTAGTAATATTTCTTCTGGTCGCCATACGATAACTGCGCTTGTAACTCGAGAACAATACACCAAACCGGGTAATTTTCACACCAACTCTTCTGCACCTCCCGTTCTCGATCGGAGATATGAATATCTTTAGAATCAGAAACAACTGATTAGATCTGCTGGGACATCCAACCCACCGACCAGACTTGAAGTTGAAATGCCGACTCTTATTCTTCCTTTTAATTTCAATGGTCATGAGAAATTTAGCAAAATTATCTATGTTGATTCCTCTTGAATTTGACGGCGATGAGCGATCTTTTCTCCTTGTGTTCTGACTACATATAACTAGCGTGATTTACGGTAGTTGATTATAATTCCATTTCTTTTTTTTGCCGCTCGCTTCTCCGGTTTTGGCTCCGGCTCAAGGTTTGCTTATTCGCTGGTAACTGGTATCAATATTCTGTTGCCCGTCGGTTTTTGCCTGCGAGTTCGTGTCAGCTCTCTCTATTTACGTGCATCCACCCCGACAAAATAATGGACCGCCAGAGGATCGGGTTCCGAGCACCTTGAACACGAGTGCGTTGTCCACCAAGCCAGCTAGGTGCCCCCTGGAGATCGTATTTTTGCATTACCTTTATACTATATCCGCCGGGTGGTCTTTGGTTAAATCTGCTTAAACAGACCCAGGCGCGCAATGACATATGACACCGGCTGCTACATTCGCCGTCAGCCAAGGGCATCTCATTACCTCCCACACGTAGCAATTGTTTTCTACGCCCTTATGTCTCTAAATGGTCAATCCACGTCGAATGACTGCCCCACATGTACGTTCGTACATCATTTTGCACAAGCTTGCTGTTGCTTCTAGATAGCCCTGCTAACTCACTGATCACTTTTCTGTTTCTGCCGATTGCGCCATTATTGGCTGTACCTTGTGCTTAATTCAAAGTTTCTGTTGACCCGTTTGTCCATGGAACCGGTTCTTGACAGCCTTTAATAAATTTTTACCGTCCTCGTACGTCTGTGCCCATCGCATACTGGGTGCGAACTGCTTGCGCTCTGCCTCAGAGGAGGTGATCTGTTTCTCGTTCGCCCTGCCCACCGTCACCAGGCGTTCCCTAAAATTAGAAGTTCATCTGCTAGATTGTACATTGACACATCCCCTAATACCATGAGTCTGATTTCGCCTTCGTCCTCTTGGACACAATGGAACCGCCAGTATGAAATCAGCACTTCCTGCATCCCGCAAGTTCTGGGGCAGAATAACACCAGAAGGCTCCGCTAACCACCTGTACCAAAGAGGGCGATGGGATAGAAAGAACAACATTCCTCTAGCGATTCAGAAGAAGCACCATGTCTCCTTCTGTGAGCTCTCGCGCTACTATCCCAAACTAATTGAAACCAATTCAAGGTTTTTGCTAACCGTTGCGGGGACTGCGCAGACATGAAGATATACCCACAACCAGTGGAATGCCGAGACTTGAAACATTTCTTTGCAAACAACCTGGGGGAGAAATATCATTCAATATCTCTGAAGAATGCCAATACATCGTCTTAAGCGAATAAAAGCATCCCGAAATCCTCCGCAGATGAATGCGTCGAGAATGAGCTCTACGTGCACGCCACCATAGTCATTCGATGCATGGTTTTTGCTGCCTGGCTCACCGTCCGACTTGCAATAAAATGCCATGGAAGCCAAAAGTAGGTACAACTAATGTCTCCCTAACAGCCTCGTCTAAAGATGCTTCTGCTGCATATGAAAAAGTCTTAAGGAACGCTAAATCCTCAGTACCGTCCCTTCTGACTAGAGACGGCCCCAAAACCTTGGCAAGACGCGGCCAAATAAGTCGTCAGCATCCGTGCAAGGTTTGGGCTGCTAAGGATTTTACAAAAAAATATTAGAGCCGTTGGACCGTGCACAGTTTGTACCCAGACGACAGTAGGAACTGGAATAATAACTCAACAAAAACCATCGAGCAAGAGGTAATAGAAATATAATAAAATAAAGGGGCTGCAGAGGTGGTCGTGGTGGCGTCGCGTATAGCACGCTAGTTTTCTGTCCATGGGGTTCACAGCTCGATCCCGTGGGATTAGACACTCACTTGGCAGTGTTGACACGACATCACAGACGAACGTATACAGGCGGTAAAATCTCGATATCATTTACCAGATATTAGGCACAACTTATAATGTGGTAAAACCCCAGGAAACGAGATCCAAGGAAGCAAAATAGCGCTATTTCAGGCGGGCGTGAATTACGTTAACCGTGAACAGCCAGGACAACTAGAAAAATAAACTCTGATCATCCATGATTCAGTGGAGGAACCAACAATCTACGCAGCCAGGACAACCCTGATGATTGCTACCTAGCATTCAATCCGAGGCTCCGAGCGGCCTTGAACCGATCACGACCCCCATCGGCGCAACAGCCAAAAATTACTTTCTCCTTGGCTTTGGCCTTTTAGTCACGAAAGCATCATTCCGCCGAAAGTCCCGAACAACTTCCCCCACTAAACAAATGCATCCGTTCAGCTGAGAGCCTAATCCCTCTCGTGCCCTGAGAAAATAAACATCATCCCCTTCAGTAACAACCTAGTTGTTTGTGAAGATTTTGTTCAGCAAATTTGTATTAACTTCTGTGCTCGCGAAGAAGTAGGCTCGCACCCCTTCAATGGAGTTGGTGGTTCACCCAACGAACTAATTTTCAAGGGTATGCTGGCGGCTTACTTTCATCCCACGTAGATATCTCTGTGGGAACCACATAAGCTTCGTGTTGAGCAGCTAAACTATTCAGAGAATCTAGCGGGTCTCTCTGAGCGGCCCTCCTGGCTTGAGATAAACTGCCATTTTCCACTCAAGACCGAGAGGCATGGAGCGAAGAACTATCCCGTGGGTAAACAAGCAACCCCATCCAGACAACCTCTTGAACCCCCTACTAAGAAATCCCTTCATACATCCGCATAAGAGCTTCCCTCAATATTTCACCGCGCCCACGAAAAAAGCACTCACGCCACATTCTACCCTAAAACCTCGAGAGTTTGAATACCATCCGTTCGTTGCTCATCAGGCTGTCCTCAGTTCCTTCGATGGGGTAATCGGATTAGCCTACCACTCCCCTGGAGCCTTTCCCTAGATGAATCGGCCTCACTTTACAGTGATATACTCAACCTTGTCCCCCCCGCTGATGGGTGCGCAAACATTTTGTGGCTCCTGTGACTGAGCGCGCCGATGCTCAACGTAGAGCTACCAGAAGTGTTAATTCACTTCGGGAGTTCTCCGGCCGCGAGAAAAAGCCGGTCACACCGGTCGGCCCTAGAATGACGTAGGCGTGAAGGAGCACCCGCAGACAACTATAGCCTCTTTACTTGGAGCTGCATGATTGGGTTTTCAACCTCCACCGCAACACGTGCCTCCGGGAAGACAAGTCAGATCCCCACACCTAAGGCGTGTCAGTAGAACATGCAGTAACTGAAGTCCATATTCCTTCCACAATGAAACAGGCCTCCAGTCAAGAGGAATCATAAACCTTCCCCACAACCGCTATACGCGATGTTGAAAACCCCAACTAATCCCCGTCGAAACCGGTCCATCGTGTTCCACTACTCAACCCTTTATATAAACCACCCTGTTTTTTGACCGCAATAGCTTTGTTACCACTAAAAACGTTGAGGCCCATCATCCCAAGGAGTGAAGCCTCGTTGCGTTCCCCACCGCTTTGAACACGCAGCCAACCGCTGTGACCAGAATCGACTACCAACCGAAACGAGTCTATGGGCTCTCGGCTTCCTATTCGTCTTCAAATCTATCGAGGCGACTCAATCTATTAGTGTTGAGTATGGATACGCTTAGTCCAGACAACCTAGTATCTGAGGTCGTCTGGAAGCATGGCTACAGTGAGCGATGTATTTCAAGGCACTAAAGCAATGATACCGAAAAATATGGAGTTGATGTGACTTGTCGTCAGCGCTGCCACGATTGTCTGCTTTACTCGTAGTTTCATTGGCTGAAATAGACAGATCGACTGATGATTCGTTCGGTCTGCGATTCGGTCTGCAGACGAATAGAAAAAGCTCGATTGAAGGCGGCACATAGTTCGTGACTACCAACGACTAACTTGCAGCGAAATTCTTGGGTTGTTTTTGGGTTATCAGCTTTCTTAACAGCATGACTAACAGCTGTTTCTGTCATCGTAGATCTGGGCCAGCGCGCGCCTTTCGGACTGAAGGTGAAATGTCCAGTTGTGTGCGGAAAAAATTGGTAATTGTGGGTGACGGCGCATGTGGAAAAACATGCCTGCTAATCGTGTTTAGTAAGGATCAGTTTCCGGAGGTTTACGTTCCGACTGTGTTTGAGAACTATGTGGCGGATATTGAACTTGCTGGCAAGCGAGTAAGTATTTACGACGCCTGTCTCATGCTCTTAGGTTGAACTTGCCTTGTGGGATACGGCTGGACAGGAAGATTATGATAGATTACGGCCATTATCCTATCCAGACACAGATGTTATTTTGATGTGCTTTAGTATAGACAGTCCTGACAGCCTTGAAAACATAGCAGAAAAATGGGTGCCTGAAGTGAGTTATTTATTGGCTCTTATGACTTTTAGGTCCGGCATTTTTGTGGGAACGTACCGATTGTTTTGGTTGGCAATAAAAAGGATCTGCGTAATGACGAAAACACAAGGGCAGATTTGAAACGTATGAAACAGGATACTGTGAAATATGAGGAAGCACTGTCGGTTGCCAACAGCATCGGAGCGTATGCTTATATGGAGTGTAGCGCAAAGACTAAAGATGGTGTCCGTGACGTGTTCGAAACCGCCACAAGAGCGGCTCTTGAGACGAAAAAGTCAGGAAAGAAGAGGTGTATTTTGCTCTGACCCATAACTCTATCCGAGTGCCTGCAATTATACTCCAATGTTTCTTCATTCCTTCGCTTGCGTGCCGCGAAATCACATTCCAGTTGGTTTTGCCTACAACTGCTTCATTTTTACTGGTACATTTCAATTTTGTTTTTTAAGTCATTCCCCTTTAACTGATCTGATGAGAACCGACAAATTCTAATGGCCTCTAGATTCTTTGAGGTAATCGTATTTTTGCTTCGTACCGGTGCTTCAGGTGGACGCTTGGGTCGGTAGTGTAAGATGCGGGCTTTTACAGGCTGCTACCAGAATGATTTCTAAGCTTCGGAGCACTGGCCTTCCCTAGAACTCTAGACCTTTTAATACGGGATTTCAGCGAGGCGAAAAGTCGTAATATGACCTAACACCCCCTTATGCTCTTTTCCACCTTTCGCAGCTAGGACATTTCATCTTCATCTCAAATTGGGGAAAACCCAGACGCGCTTTATTGAGTGCGAAATAGCTCAGTTGAGTATTTCCAGCTATCGTCTTATTGCCAACACATGCCGTTGGTGCTGGTAATGACGGCAACGATGCCGACTTACTCTAGGTCTGCTTACTGTCCTCCTAGCCTTAAGTACTTGCGGTGTGCTGGTCTTAATCAACCAGCAATGAACCTCAAAATACCTTAGTTACTCGAAACGGGTCTCCATTTGGGTGCGCCATTGGCTTCTGAGTTCTGCTAATGCATGGATGTACTTGAGTATACATGCTCAGACCCTATGGAACGAAGAGGTTTCTGATGAACTGATGGCTGTCGGCAAAATGGTGACATAATGGGGCAACACGGTGCTTAGTGAGCGAAACGTCATAGGAACTGACATCAAAGGCAGTGGTGAAGCAGTCATCAGGGCGGCACAAGGGCTGATCACTAATTAGCCTTACAGTAGAGATATTGGGCCCGACCCAAATGCAGGACAAATACCTGGAGTGACCATTGAGATGGTGTTAATCCAGTGGCTATTGTAAACAACACTGATGATCACTTTAAGCTGATGAAATCTTTCAACCACACACCTTGCGAACGGTGGGACGTAAGGCAGGTACGATATTAACTTAGCATATTGGTTTCAGAAAAATTGCTACTCTTGATCTGGGGTCCTCATTGGTGGGAAGCGTGCACACACTCCTCATCTTTTCTGAACTGTCGGACAGTGGCCTCAGTGTTTATGTTTGGTATAAGGACGACCTTAGGGTACCGGGCAAGGCGTTCGCAAATAGTGGCCACGACCGTACCGTGTTGGAAACACCGGCACTAGTCTGATCACCGAAGTTGGGTAACGTTGTGGCTGGTTATTACTTGCTTAGGTGACCGGCTGGGAATATCGGGTGTTGTCGCCGTTCCTCCTTTTAAGCTCGGGATAGCTCAGTGGTTAAGGTGCAGGTGGAAGGTGGCACTAGGGTTGAGATACTGCCAGATTGCTTAATCCTAGACAGGAGCAGTCTAGATGCCGAGGTTGGGTTCAAACCGCGGACCTTCCGGTCTACAAATAATGATATATTCTTTATTTAATTGCGGACCGGAAGATCCAACATCGGCGTCTCGACTGCTCCTGTCTAGGATTGGGCAACCTTACACTATCTCAGCCCTCTTGCCACCTCCGTTGACCTGCCAGCTACGTACCGGACGTCTGTGGAAAAGCGTTCCATAAGGTCAAGCTGGCGTTGTCCCCTGGGAGAATGACGTTCCAAGCGATTTAGGAATGGGGAGGCCAGAGGCTCGTCATTTGCAGTTTCAAAAAAATAATCACCTCCATCGCGTACAGGAATCTCTTGGAGCAACAAGCAAGAAGCCTTCGGTTTACAGACTACTGTTGATGGATAGCGCCGGCGGCGGTGTCGAAGGCTTCTGTGGACATACTCGACGTTACACAGGCATCAAAGTGACGAATCATGGTAACCGGTACAATCATGTTTGTGGTAGCATTAGGGGAGCGTGTGCCTCAGTTGAAAGGTTGACGTCACCATCCTGGTGGTTTATGAGCCTATCATCGGACGAACATGTATGGTACACTTAGGGGCAAAGTGGCGATAATGACTAGGGAGTCCACAGTGGCCAATGTCACAAGCAGAGAGAGTGAGTGAGTCTAAGCTCTGGTTGATACAGCGTCCGAGAAATTTCTCTGGCGGTTTTCCCAAAACTGCATTCCTGGGGATTGTTGATCACTTTTGGTGAGCTGATTACTGGAACAGGGTTGCTAGTTGAGATTTGTCTTTCTTTCGATGCTTTGGCTACTAGCCAAGTCCCTGCTGATGTCAGTAACGAAGGGTTGGATGGCGCGTATCATGTCTCGAAGGCCGAGCGGCGTACTAGGGGATTCGTAGAGACCAACAGGCGTAATGGCGATTGTCATCAGCATGTCGTCAATAACCACCGAGATAATGCGGTATGAATGTATCAGCTGAGCTTTTGAAGATGCATGAGTACCTTTTAAGCTCACCATGACATCATGTGTGGCAAGTGATAGCGATCTTAGATGGTTGCTTTACTGAGCGCTCCACATGGGCGTCAGTCTCCGGATTTCGTTGGAAACATGTGGAGTAGCGGCGGTCAAGAGCTGTCCGACGGTTAACGGATATCAATTTCGAGCAAATGGTCAGCTTTTTCGACCTTCGGTTTGTCAGACACAGATTAACATGCTTTTGTGAAGACCGAGGATTTTCCATTAAGATTTGTTGCTGCGTAGCGTTTGCAATGACCAGAGTAGTTATGGAAGTTTGCTATGGTTGTGGAGATCGGCCCAGGTGTGTACATTATTTGGAGGACGTCGGCATGGTTGAAGCGGTGCATGATTAAATCCCAACCATAATTGCAGAGGTGCAGCCATTGACAGGGTGGTGCCGTTTTCAGCCGACTACGTCGAGATGATGTAGAAAATCGACTTCGATCGTGGATGTCAGTGACAAGGGGCACTCACCACAGGGACATCGCCCATGGAAACACAAAGAGAACAAGCGTTGGTCGTACATATTTACGGTGCCACAATTCGCTGCTCGAAGTCTAGAACTAGTAACCTCTTGGTTATCGTGTTGACTTGCCAGAATAACGTCACTCTGGACACCAGGATCGACAAGTTAGTTGGCGAAACAAGCGACTTGAACAGCCAGTCACATTATGGCAGTTGCTTGAGGCTCTTACAAAAACGCTTCAACTTATTAATTGAGGTTGGCCAACTATGATGGAAATCGGTGCACGTATGTGAACATTGGTCGCCTTTCACAAGGTATCTCTTAGTAGCGTTGACATGGTGTATCTGACCTGCCTTCTCCGTAGTTTTAACCAAATACATCAGACTGAGCTCATAAAATAGCACACATGATCACTGGTAACTTCTGTAGAGGGTTTCGCGCTGATGACACTGAGTAGCGACTGAGAGAATGCTAGGTCACCCAATTCGACAACTTCAATCTGAGACAGGGCTTACTGGTGAGTGGAAGTGCCAAGAACGGCGGAAAGGCGGTTACCGAAGTTTTTTGTAAGCTGCATCCTTGTTGGCATGTTCTAGTTTTCCCGCGTCATCACTGATTCATGGTAGAAATGCTGATACAACGTGGTAATATTTAGTCAACACGTGATATCGTTCATTGCAAAAGTGGCTTCCAGCTGACGAAACGACTTTCGACTGCCTTCTCTGCAGAATAGGGATGGACAGGACATATACTGTCGTGGGTTGCGAAACCTGTCATTCCAGGTCGGATCCGTGGTTGTACGAAATTTTCCCGCGTCATCACTGATTCATGGTAGAAATGCTGATACAACGTGGTAATATTTAGTCAACACGTGATATCGTTCATTGCAAAAGTGGCTTCCAGCTGACGAAACGACTTTCGACTGCCTTCTCTGCAGAATAGGGATGGACAGGACATATACTGTCGTGGGTTGCGAAACCTGTCATTCCAGGTCGGATCCGTGGTGTTTTGTACGAAAGATGAAAATCTGAAACCAGGAGTTTCAGGATTAGGACTTGGATAGGCACATGGGAAATGGGCAAAAATGTTACGTGGAAGAAAAACTTTACGGGCTTACCAATTAATTGTCGGGCCACACACTTGCGCGTTGTGGTCACGAGACAACGTAGTACACCGCACTGTTTATGGTTTGGCTTAACGGCCGACTCGGTTGCGGTCAATGATAAGAAAACATCGCGTACTGAATGTTCGCGAAAGAACGTGAAGTACGGTATTGGCATGTATATGTAATTAAACCTCAAAGCACAAGGACCGTATAACACGGGTTTACCGGCATCATCTTCAGCCGTAACATCCATCCACTTGCCGTACAGTGTTTGTAGCTGCCACAGTTTCATTTGCTGATGATTTGAGAAGGTGGAGTGAACAGTTACACATAAGGTCCGTAGCTGATATAATTGGTGCATAAATACAGGAGTGTCAGTGAACTTTTCATTGGGGAGATCGGAGGGGTGCACTTGCCGTACAGTGTTTGTAGCTGCCACAGTTTCATTTGCTGATGATTTGAGAAGGTGGAGTGAACAGTTACACATAAGGTCCGTAGCTGATATAATTGGTGCATAAATACAGGAGTGTCAGTGAACTTTTCATTGGGGAGATCTGGAGGGGTGCTGTATGCTAAAGGCGACAGCCTGGTTGCATGAGCGTCATTAAGGGCGAGACTTGACCATGGCCATTAATGTGTCCCGTCTCGAAGTCCCCAACCAAGGAAATGGTAATGACTAGCGCCGCTGAGTTTGCTATTAATGGCTCCCATACTTCGCTACCAAGTCATTGACCTCTGAGTGGTTTCTACCCTCCGCGTGATTGTGGGAACAAGACTCTCCGTGCTACATGAAGCATATGACCAAGCCAGCGCAACCAATGGAACATAATCAGCTCGTCCGTCGTGGGTGACGTACCCAAGCATTAATGACTCGGTGTTACTACCAGACTCAGGCAATAGTTAATTACTAAACGTTCTTTAGCGTCTCCACTCCAGATAACAATATAGAGTGCAACAGCATTGT